CTCAGCGCTCATTACTACAAAGTAAAGACTCAAGTTCGAATCCAGTGGACCTGCTTTCAAATCCAACATATTTACAAACGGTTTTTTTTTTGTTTTTTTTTTCAAAAAACATCGACACCCAAGGGTTTATACGACCCCCGCTGTTGCGAACTCTCGTTATATGTAATTTCCGTAAAAGCCCAACAACGAAAAGGTTTCTACTCTCGGGCAAACAAAAAGTCAACCCAATAAATTTAACGGGAGAGCATCGAGGCCGAACAATAAACATATGCGGGGCGTCGGTGGCCGCAACGGTTTAGGCGTTGACACGGCGCTCATCACTGTAAGATAAAGGTCCCGGGTTCGAATCCAGCGGTCCTGGGCCCTGCATTCGAACCCGACATACTTACAAATGGGCTGTTTTCAAAAACACCGGCACCCTGAGGGTTTATATGGCCTCTGCTGTTGCGAACCCTCGTAAATAATTAAAATATATATATATATTTTATAGAACGACCTTCGGTGGGTTCGAGTCCCGCTCATGACATTAATTTTTCTTCTCATCCATCTTTGCATAAAAATGTAAATAATAGATAATAATATACAGAAAACTAATTAAATGTTAATATTTTCTCTTGGCTTCTTCAAACTAATATTCCAGTTGAGTGTGTGAAATAAGGAAATAATGGAAAAACCTGCGTTTTTCTAGCTTCAATCGAACGTTGCCGGTTGGCCGTGAAGAAAACCACCATGAAATGACAATTTAGGGATTAGTTTTTAAAAAATCGTTAAATGTCTAGGAGACCTGTGATTCACTCGGAAAAAGGGAGACGACAACGAGTACGTCTGGTGGACTGGTTACCTAGTGACTAATCTTATAACGCCTGAGGAAATGTAGCACTTAAATGTGAGACGGAGCTCAGCCAGAAGAAAAACCAGAAATGATAAATAGATAGATTTACCTGTTTTAATTTTTTTAGCGAAATATATTATTATTTTTAAATAAAATTTTGAAAAAAAAATTCTCCATGTATGAGCGCAGAATTTTTATCTTTGGTTAATTTTGTCCTGGATTATTTTACCGGAGATATATGCACTAAGGTGGATGGAATATGGATTTTTTTCAAATTTTTGTCAAAAGATTTGTATTCCTTTGATTTTCATCTTTAAAATTCCTCATGCTTGACATATAATTATGTACTGTGGATGTACTTAAGAAATTTATCAGTCTTTTAATTTTTGGGTCCAGATTATTGTAATTTTCTTCTTTGGCAGTTCAAAGGAGACACCGCTTAAGTATTTAAGTTTGGCTATTTAACAATAAGTAATAAAAAAAAACCATCGTCGATTTCACTCAATGTTTTAAAAAACTCACTGTAACACTCACTTGTCTGGTGTTGAGGTTTCTATCGAAAAATAATCGGGACATTCTGCGGCAGAGGGAAAGTGCCAGTTTTTGTTTAAACTTTCTTCCTTATTGGAGTCAAAAAGGCCTTCAGAAGATCCGCAGAATCGTTTGCTTTTACAATTTTACAACCTATCAGACTTAGCCGAGAAAGCTGGATAATCCGATATTCTCAAAAGCACAGAATTTTTTTATGCGTGTTTGTTTTAAATTTGATTAGGTTAATTTACCATAATAGACAGCAAGCGCAATGTTAGTTTCCTGACAATGGTCTGACAGACAGGAGAGTACAATCCCTTTCAAACGAACGTTAAATACCTTCGACTTAAGCGCATAAGTATAACTTAAAGTTCTGCAGGTAAAACTTCAACGATGATCCCTGATCATTTAATGTTAAATTAATTCATTCAGAATTGCTCTTGAATTAAAAAAAACACCTGCGTTGAGGATTCAGCTAACCAAGTTTTCTAGGTCTTGGATTTTGTTATTCGATGATATTACAATTGTATAATAACACCATGTAGCGTGTACTTAACATCAGACAAAACTTTTTTCCTCTTTTATTCTTCCCGTTGTAATGGCTCAATTTTTAAAGACAATTAACGACAAAGTACTTCCTCCACAAAGAAGGTTTTCGTTCCAACTACCTTCTAATAAACGCTTGTTTCTTGTTCCTTGTTTCTCTAATATTACAAATAAAACCTAAAGACCCAACAATTTTCAACGACAAATTTATATNTATATATATAACATAGTTTTCCTAATACTATTATTCCATAAAAAACATCATTTATTAATTATTCGAAGATCGTGAGATGCGGTCTCGTGTGAGGTAGGTTTTAGAAAAACATTTTCTTTATCATGCCACGTTTCGATCTTTATTGAGATCATCTTCAGGGCCTGGGATTTATAAACATTGTTTAAATTTGACAAATACATGTAAGATGTGGATGTATAAATGATGTACAAATCCCAGGCCCTGAAGATGATCTCAATAAAGATCGAAACGTGCATGATAAAGAAAATGTTTTTCTAAAACCTACGTCACACCAGACGGCATCTCACTATCCCCGAATAATCATCGACTAACGGTCACTGAACACCACACATCATTTATTAAGTTTAAACAAATGTGTACCCTGAAAAATAGTTAAATAATAAAAGGAAAAAAGGATAAAGCTCTGTGATTATTATTCTCGTGCAAAAATTTGTGCAGCTGACACCAAAAATTGTGAAAAGGACCTCCTTTTTCGTCGAAATCCTCAACATTACGACCTGATTGGTGAGGTGTACGAATTATTTTTCGGTCAATAGTTTAGAATTTTCTTAATGAATTCCTTCTATTATGGGCAATTTATTTTTTTATTATTTTTTTTATGCATATTATAGCAAGTTTTCTTCTCAAAAGAACACGAAATTTCACTATAGTCTGATAATATTACCTGACTTTAAGGTTTCTTATTTCTTCTTCCTTGTAGATCAAAGCGGTTTTTGAACAAAGTGCAACTTTCTTTCGTTGCTAGTTAAGTTAATAAAAGTTTCTTCCTGGCCGCCGGTGCATCAGCTAATTACGTAAGTCCTCAAGGATGGCGAAAACTTTTTTTTTAACTGAAACCTCCCCTGAAGATGGATATCAACCGTATAGTTTGCTCATTGACCTCAACAAGCTACATACCGTTTCGCCTGGATTATTCGGACCAGAGTTTATTGCCTACCGTCTGTTCAAATCCCACAAACCTTTCAGGATAATATATAATTGAAACAGTTAAAATATATACGATTAAAGCTTAAGCATTAACAGGGCCGGTTCAAACTGTAATAAAACCCTTATGGCCATATAAAATCGAAAAATAAGCATTATAATTCACAATATTTGAAAAGTTCTTTTTCCTGCTGTATTGCACTAAAATAATTATAATTCATATTACTTCCGTTACATTAATTTTGAAAATGTAGGGTGGTGGTCCCTTTGGAAAAAAGTAGGCCATCTACATCGGCAATGCGGCCTTGAAGGGAACAGTTTTCATCCTTTGCTACCGGTGAAATCATCCCTTATTTACATATATTCAACTGGAGTTTTTCCGCATTGGAACCCCCTAGTGGATGGGGAGGGTCATTTCTTTTTCCCACACGCCGGAAGTACTCGGTTCAGTGTCAATAACCTCGTACTAAACCAGTCCAAACTAATAGATAATATATCTATTTATTTGTTATCTATGTTTATCTATTAATTTTATTTTACACATTGGTGTTTAACTTTTGTTTAAGTTTAATCAGTTTCTAATCTACATTTTAGATATACTTTGTAATTATTTTATTTATTTGTTTGGGATAATTTTTATTCTAACAATTTTGAATTACAAAACAGTATGGCGGGTACGAATGGATTCGAACCTGGGACCTTAACCTTACAATGATGAGTGCCACGTCAACGCCTAAACCGTTGCTGCCATCGATGCCCCTCTTATCCACGTTCAGTTTTACATTTTTTAATTTCAAATTTCTCAAACTCAATCTAGTTCCCTCCCTTCGATGAAACTGTGCAATGTATTTAAATTGAAATTGTATTTTGTTTAATTTAGGCGGTCCTTAAATTCAGAACATTTCTTCATTTTCGATTTCCTCTCCTTTCATCCTCAGAACTGTTTTTTTCTATTTATAATCTTCCATCACTAGCTGACAGAAGGCTTTTTTTCTTTTTTTTTTTACAAAATAATCAATGGGCGACTAAATTGTACTGACCTCACTTCCTGTATCACTTTCGATGCTTCACATGCTACCAGACCTTCAACTATGTTTTGTGTACCCTTTTGTTAAACAAATTGCATATTTTATTCATTAATAAAAATGGAATAATGAGATAATGAAATTAGATATGTCCAAATATTGATTTTTTTCATCTAAATTTTAATATATTTAAACATAATTTTTTATAACAATAATTTTATAGCTTGTTTTGAAATTTATATAGCTGTATTATGTAAAATTTAATTAATTTGTTATATAAAATGTATAAATTTAGTTAATTGTTTCTTATTATTGTTAATGCTTGTTGTTTTGTTATTTTACAAATTTTGTTTATCTACTACTTAAATTGTTTATAACCACATAGTTTATATTCTTTCTAAAAAGATCTTTGATCTATACGTATATATACATATATTTAAATAAATAAAAATTTGGTCAATTTAGGCAAGTGCTCTTTAAATAACAGCTACAATACTTACGCAGAACAACTACAATACAAACTACAATAATTAAATATTAGGCATATATTTAAGAGCTCTATTATATCAATTTTTACAACTTCATTAATACTATATAAAGTAGTTAATATAATAACTATATAATGTATAATTACTATATAAATTAAGTAAACGAAGTATAAAGTACAAAGTATTAACGAATTTGTAAAAAATAATATAATAGACCTCTTAAATTGTGCCTACTATCTAAATATTGTAAATTTTTATTGAAATGAAAGGTTGGGTCACGTAGCCAAGGTACACCAAGCCACGATCATCTTGAATCACTCCAAGTGCCTGCAGGAAGTAAAAAAAAAAAGAAAAAATAAATCAAAACAATATTCTATATTTCTTAAAAACAAAAATTACAATATTACTTGTACAGTAAAAATTAAATTGATAACAAAACAAATTATAAGATGAAAAATTTACAAATATGAACCAAACACTTTAGATTGGGATCATATGCTTTGTTTTGTTGTTTGCCATGATTTTTTCCATTCTCTTCTTTTCTTCTTTAAACGCTTCTGTATTTAGTTTTCTTTCTATCCTTCTTTCCTAAAATAAAATTAAAAAAAAATTAAATTGCTGAAATATTATATAAATTTAAATTATTTCATACTTTTTTGTACACTTTAAACGCCTTTTTTCTTGATGTTTTTTCATGTCGTGTCTCATCCTTCGGCCGTATCGATAAAGTCGAAACAATAGAAACCAGCGATCCCGGCCCAGTAGCTGTACTTTTGGCTTTGCCGTTGTGGTCGGCCAATGCGCTTGCCGTCAGCCGGGTGGTTGTGATGGGGATCCCAGTTTTCGGATTGATTTTAATTTTATTCTGCAAAAGTATAAACAGTAAAAGAACGTTTTTCAACGTTTCAACAATTTCCACTTACAGAAGGAGGAGCACCAATTAGTTTCGGATGATTGTATATGTTGGAATAAGTTGAAAGAATCGATTCACAGTCCCACTTCTCTTTTTCTTTCAGTTCAATAAGACTGCAATCGCTTTCATTCCCAGAAGATTCATCACAAACATAGTTATATTTGCTAGTATCAAATTTAATCTAAAATAATTTTTAAAATATTGTAATTATTATTTTTTGACTTGTCATTATTGATAATTACCACTTCTGAATCATTTTTGACACCTTCTTCATTATCCAATTGGTCCATTAAAGTGGTTTGTGGATCCATTTCACCTTCAATATCTTCAGTGTCCAAAGCGCCTATTTCATTATCATCGTATTGAGAAAACATCTAAAATAATAGGTAACAATAATAAAAATACTGACTAATTGTTTTTATGTAATAACAAATTTACTTCTTCAAATCTGTCATCCAACATAGTAAGCTGTTCGTTCCTACGCATCACAGAACTCGTCATTGAATATTCAGTGAATCTTGTTTTAGTCTCTTCCAGGTCGAGGAGGTTGTCTCTCAGTTCTTCGTCAGAGAACTCGTCGTCTTCTCCAAATTCATCATAATCAACGCCATCTTTTTCTTCTCCTTCCGGGCTGTCGGACAAAAATAAAATCAAACAAACGCAACATTTAACATATTTATCCACACTTACATGACCTCTCCGGCAATCTCCATAAAATTATCTTCGATTTCAGATTCTTCGTCGATGAGGTGATCATCCTCAAGATTGGCGTACACTTCAAGAAGATCATCGCTGTACCCAACCTCAAGACCTGAAAACACCATACTGTTATCAGTTTATGTGATTTTTTATGTTGTTTCATTACAACCTTTTGGCGCAGCTTTGTTGAGTAGACCAACTTTTTCTTCGACAGTTGAACCAAACACAGAAGAAGGTAAATTAATACGAGGCTGAAAAAATAATTGATTTATTATTACCAAACATATATAAAATGTATACATATTAAGTGATTGTATAAATCATTTTATGGACAATCTTAAGGAAAAAAAGAATACACCAAAAACAAGATTCCCAAAACTCAATGGAGATTGGGTGATAATTTTTTTTTTTTTTTACTTTTTGAAGCAGTTGGAACTAAAGGCTTCATAGATACTCAGACAGGGTGGGTTCAACATTTACTCTAGAACAAGGGACCAATGACTGGGATGAAATAAAGGGATAGGAACCTAAAATAATAGTTAATCGCCATATTTATTTTATGGAAAAAAATCTAGGAGAGAAAAATGAAAAAGGACAAAAAAGGCTCCTGAAATAAGAGGAGCAAACACAAATGGAGGGAAGAAAAATTGACAAATTCAATGGGATCCTAACTAGGGGTCAATATGCCCAAAAGGCCTGGTGCTATCCACATCCAGTGACAGACACTGTTAGCCGGTGCATTCCTTCAGCCGCACCTACAATTTTGACCCAATCTCCAAGTAAATTAAGGGTTGGCTCAAAATAATTAGAAAAAGCTGGCCTTAATTTTACACTATTGGTCCTGTCAATTCACCTCGATACAAACTTTATACAAAATTCTATAACTCCATAAGTATGGGTTGATATTAAGAAATTTTAATTCACTTTCTTTCATATTTGCTGTGTTATTATAAAATAGTTAAACAAATTTAATTAGGATTAAATGTTTATTATTAGTTTCTTTATTCCAACTCCAGCATGCTTGATTAATTTTTTACAGTATTTTTGTATTTTATTTGAATATAATTTTACTTTGAAAAGAAATTGGAAGTTTGCAGTTTGCTAGTCAAAAACAATCCACACCCTTCTCAACTTCAGGTGTTGATTGTTCAGTTATTTTCTATAAATTCACTAATTTCATGGTCCGCTTGACCAATTAATATATTACAATTAATTAAGGTTTTTAGTTGAGATAAAAAAGTCAAATTTGAGTGGATCGAGGTCACGATAGCTCAAGTGGTAGAGCAGCGGCGTATCTAGCCGAAGGTCGTGGGTTCGAATCCCACTCGTGCCATTGACTTTTTTATCTCAACTAAAAACCTTAATTAATTGTTATTTTCAGTGTTGATTTAGATTTTGTGGTTTCTAATGCTAGGTGATTTTCTCTACAGTTTCCTAATTATTATTTAGTTATTTTAGTTATTTTAATTTAAAGTGAGATATAAAGGATTAATTCCTAAGTATTTTATTTAATTCTGCCAGGCATTCTCTTCCAAATATAGCCCAAGTCAATCAGCCCTGGAAAATCAATCAGATAAAGATGAGTTCTTTGACAAAAGAATTTGTAGGTCGGTGTGTAGGGTAAAGTTCGAGATGTAATATGGAGCATTGGTGTTTTTACGGAAAATTTTTGACTGCAATGACTTTATTGTTTTGGAATTGGACCATTTGGTTGTGCACCAGTTCTATTCCATAGGTCCAGATGGGTTGGAGTACTGTCTTGTATAATAACAATTTGACGTTAGTGAAAGTTTTCATCGTTTGTCTAGTACATATATATATGAGAAGTTTATATCGTTTGTTAAGTTCCTTTCTTTTCAGTTTGGTGTGGGGGGTCTATGTCCATTTTGTTGAGAAACATGCCTAGATATTTAACTATAGTTGCATAGGTTGTTAAAGTTGTGTTGGAAGTGTTGTATGGCGGAGGGTAAAGGTTGTGCATTTCTTTTGATTAATTTTTATCCTCTATCTTTCGGTCCATTGATGGATGCCATTAGATGGGCTTGTTGGAGACAGCTATGTCTAGGTTTTGATGCGAGGAAAGGATAAGTGTGTCATCTGCGAATGTAGGAAGGAATGTGTTAAGATTTAGAGGGATATCGGCAGTGTATATAGTATATAGGTGAGGACATAGGATGCTTCCTTGCATTACTCCAGCCCTGACAAGGAAGAAAGATGAAAAATCTGCACCTTGTCTGACTTGGTAATACCTATTTGAGAGGTAGGATTTTTGGGTCACGTAATACGTTGAGGGGAGAAGGGCCTTTAACTTGGAAAGAAGCCCTAGGTGCCAGACTCGATTGAAGGCTTGCGCTACGTCAGGAAATACCCTGAAACTAAAGCACCCTTTTCCTCTCCTCACTTATCTCATGCACACTGCCCACATTAAAATCTCTGTCCATTATAAGGTAACTTATTTACAAGTATTACCTGATATATTTACTATTGACTAATTCGGGATGTCGGGGCCGCAATGGTGGTACTGTAAAGTAAAGGTCCCAGGTTCGAATCCAGTGGCCCTGCATTCGAACGCGGTATACTTACAAATAGGCTTTTGTTCAAAACCACTGGCAACCCGAGGGTTGATATAACTCTGCTGTTGCAAACCCTTGTTATAAAAAGAAAAAAAATTGTCTAACATTTTTCAATGCCTTTTCTTTACTTCGACAAAGTTATCCCGACAGCCCAAATCAGCTCAAATTCCATATGCCAAGAGTCACCCTACGTTTCCAACCCGCACTAAATTCATCCTCATCTATCAAACCAAAACTTTTTTACCACTTAACAAAATTAAGTTACAAGGAATTACCTTTCATATGCCACATTTGACTTAAAAACTTTACAATAAAAACCTCCACTCACTTTATTTACTCTTTCCTTTTTAACATATTCGCTCTTCACCAGTTCGACATCCCCGGTCCCGACCTCCTTCAAATGCTGCAAATAGTTGTAACCGTCATCTCTGTAAATTCCATACTTGAGCATTTCTGCTTTCGTGGTTTCCTGAAAATTGACAATTAACAAATAAGTCATATATTTAATATATAATAAAAAGTGGGGAATGCGCACAACACAGGGCTTGAGTACATTCTGCGGAACGGCTTCATCAACTATCAAAGGATCCTTCTGACTCCTGTGTACAAGTTGAAAAGTTATAGCGTTCTTCTTGTCAATAAACTTCTTCTTTCCCTAATAAACAAAACAAAAATAATCAACACTAATGCTAAATAAGTTTGTTTTTAACCTGAAAACTGTTAAAATGAAACAAAATTCTAAACATCCAAGAAATCAACCAAAATACAACAACTTACCATTTTTGTTTTGTAGCAGGGACACTTTTTCAATAATTTATTGAATAGTTTTGTGTAAAAAAGAGATACAATACGTCAAACACCATGTGAAAGATCACAGAGGTAGTGTGATGGTTATTGTTTTGGTGATCGTGAAATATTTCTCCACATGGAGAGCTAGACCAGCTGAATGCGTCACGCTGTTCAACCCAGGCTGGAATTGGTGAACTGCAATTTATTTAAATAATATTAATAGTGTTAGACTTAAACAAAACTGTATTCTGTTTAAAAATAATAAAATTGTATAAAAAATATCCTAAAACTGCATATATTGGTCATCAGTATGACAGGCAATCTTGCATTCTTTGGAATGCTACCACCTAACATTGTGCTCAAAAGTATATTTTTAATTTCTAATTTCTCTCAGTAAATTACTCCCTGAACTTACAACGCTAAAAATAAAAGACAGAACCTTCATTATGATTTTTTTTAATCCAATAAAAAGCAAAAATGTCAGAGGTTTTCTAAAGAAAACAGTGTTTTATATAAAGACTCGACTCTTTTAATATGTCATTACAACCAGTGATAAAAAATTTCATAGTCTAAATTAAAAATATTCGTATTTTGTATGAAAAACTATTTATATATTATCAATACAGTGCAGCATTTTTTTTTAAATTTTTTTTTTACTTAAGTTAATTTTTATTACTCCAATTCTATTTATGTTTAACATTGAACAAAGTGACTTTATCCTGGAATTCATTTTAATTATAACTTAAAGATTAAAAATCAACAAAGCTAATTATACCATTAAATTTATTAATTGCATTACTGTAAATGTTTGTAATTCTTATAACTTACTACTTTTTCAGGCCCTTGATCAATTCTTGATTATCAATGAGTCATTTGGAATAAAATAAAAATTAAATCAAATAAACGTATTCAATGATTTCCCCACATTCCTTATCCAAACGCACCAATCGTATCCCAAGACTTCAACGTTCTTCTGAAACTTTAGCCTTATCCTACAGAATTTCTGAGGCCCAGTTATGGAATTAGCTTCCCTAGGAAGGATGTTCTTGCTTCCTCACTGGCTTGTTTCAGGACCTTGGCATATCAGTTTTTAAAAATGACCTGAATCTCCTTTTCTTCACTGTTCGTTTTCTTTTCCTAATTTCAATTTATCTTCTTTTTATTGCTGCTTTTCTTTCTTAATGTACTTTCATCATTCGATTATAAATATTTTATATTTTAAAGAATATATTATTGCCATTATTTTGTGTGTGTGTGATGGAGTACTCAATATTAATCCAATGGCACTCCATTTACGGCAATAAATACATTACTCTCAATATAAAACACAATACTATCAGTACTATATTCAATAAAACAACAGTTTACTCAGGGTAGTGGAGAACTCAATATTCATCCTTCACCCATATTATACAATTAACCTAGTGTAGTGTCAATGAGATAACAAACATTCCTCCATCGGCGTCACACTACACATTCACGCAAATAAATACATTCAATCTCAATATACACAAAGAAACACAAAACAAGATATTTACAAAATACTACCCACGAGTGATGACAGACCCAATGTCGGCTGCATGAGTATAAAGCAGTATATACAATAAAAGGGTTCTGTTTGCTCTAGAAATCAGGTCCCAAGCACTTGCTCTTGTGCTAAAGCTCAACACTCATATCAGATGGAATGCCTGCCTACATGTTCTCTATGTGCCAAGGAGGTCAACCCAAGGTACCCTTCTATTCAATGGGACACATTGAGCAACCTATCTCTACATGTTCGGCTCAGATTGCTTATAAGATAACCTATTTATCAAATTATTTCATTTTTCATGAATTTCAATTTTAATGAATGTTTGGTGTAATAAGTTGTATTACTTCTCTTCCTTAGCTCTTAGAGACATAGAGATCAAAGTAAGTGTCTGTGGGTCAACCTTGCATGATGGGTTCCTTAATCACGTGCTTCATTCTTAAAACTAAATTTCTTTCCTATTTACACACCATTAATTAGGGTAGTGGATTTCTCGATATTCACCTTTCACCCTTTACACATATTTTACAATTTTTCTAAAACCTACATCACACCAGACCACATCTCATGATCTCAAAATAAACGGCACTAAACACCACACATATTATAAAACTAACCTAATGTAGGGTCGATGGGATAATGAATATTCTTCCATTACATTACTCACATTCACGCAAATAAATACATTCTTTCTCAATATACACAAATAAACAAAACGAAATATCTATAAAATACTACTGTCAAGTGATGATGGACCCAATGCGGGTTTCATGAGTGTAAAGGAGTATATTCAGTAAAATGGTCCTATTTCCCCAAAAAATCAGAACAGGGGGCCCCAAGTAAGCTCAATTCTCATATCGGTTGGAATTCCTACACGCTCTCTATATGGAGCCAAGGAATGGTACCCTTCTATTCAGTGGGACACATCGAGCAACCTTTCTCTACATGTTTGGCTCAACTTGTTTATAAATTTAAGCTATTATCATTCGAATATTTCATTTTTCGTTAATTTCGACTTAATGAACTTCGTTGAAGCAAGTTGTATTACTTCTCTTTCTTAACTCTTAGAGACATTCTCTGAGACGTTTCTAGAGAGCGTTCTACTTATTTATAATTATTGATATCAATATTTATTTTGTTATTCAATGTTTTAATTTGATTTATAATATTAAAAACTGCACGAATGATCAATAAATCGCATTATATTTTTTGATTGTAGTTATACGTGGAGTATTGAGGTCTCCGCCCATTCGGACCGCCAGCTGACAGTTACTTTTGGGCGAATGATGTCGTGTTTTGGTTTCGGATAATTGTATTATTTTATATTTAATTTCCCCTGCTAGTTGCTGATTTGTTGTTTTTAAATTATTTAAATTGTTAAATCTATCTAAAGGTGTGGCATAGTTTAGCTGGACGTCGTATTGTTTCAGCCCTTCCTACTAGTTTTTGAGCTGTATGACCTTCTTATTTTTCACTACTGCGTTGTAGTTGGAAAAATCACGTTCGTATCAATTTCACCATCGGTTTTCTCTCGGTGGCTTAAAAGTTCGTTTTGTTTTGTTATTTAAAGCCGTGGGCGGTTTATTTTTGTATAGTTATATCGTCCGTTTCTCGCAGTCATCTCGAGGGAATGGTCATTTAAAAAGGTGAGCATTTCAGTCGAATATCTGTGCTTTTAAATGTTACAGTGTGTTATGAAACTGTAGCACCGACAAAAGCGAAGTGTCCTGTGTTTATGTATTGCTGTTTTATTCATTTTGACACACCTGTTGATTTTGGCGGGAAAATATTTCAAGTAATAAGCCTTTTGAAAATTACAAAAACCTCAAAATTTTATATTAACACACAAACCTCTTTGACTTCTTTTCGATGACATTCTTAAAGTGATCTCAATACAAAGAAAACAATGCGGAAAAGCTGTTCATAAAAGCCACAACAAAGTTCACATTCTTTGTTCTCTAGGATTAATATCATACGATACCTGCTTATACTGTCCATCTCTATGCAGGATTATCAAAATAATTGGCTGTGTGCAGTGAATTATTCAAAAATATTTCTCCTGTCAATATGCTGCCATCAGCCCTCTCACACTACACAATCAAGCCAATATATACATTCATTCTCAACACAAACAAGATACCCAAAATTATCAGTACTGGATTCAATGAAACAACCCCTGCACAAGCACAGTTGACACGCATTGGTCGAATAATTTAAGGTGTGCTGGCATTGAACCTGAATTCATAGGCAATTAAAAGAAAAAAAGACGTGATGTTCAATAAATACCGCTATCAACTTCAACACCATAACCATGTCCAAAACAATGCAAAAAGAAAAAAAAATGTAAAAAGTAAATATGAAAATAAAGACCAGAACAAAAAATATAATATACAGTCATTTTTTCATAATTCATAATTCTCCTCTGTTAAGAAAAAATATTTTGTATTATCGAGTGTATCAAAATGCATAGAATTTTTTTGTTTTACCGAAGTGTCCTTCTGCGAATTCATATCATCAAGAAATTCAAGATATCAAGTTACAAATTAACAAGAGTCGACTGTATATATTTTTTACAATCCTTTATACAATTTTTACGATCTACATACAACCAGTGACTTGTAGATCAGTCTAATTTTAGACACATTAAAAAATCACGATTTCAACAGTTAAAAATTATTTATTTTGCCATTAGAATATTAAAAGAAAATTAACTCTGGAAATGGCTTGATCTAATAACCTTGTAAAAATGTACATCTCAATATCTCAAATAGTATTGTTTTGATTTAGCTGCAACAGAATTATAGACACATATTTTGTTTATGTTTATTTTATAACTCCAAAGGTTTATTCAGTATTCACTGTAGTGTGCCATAGTAAAGTGATTTGGAGTTCATTTGGAGCAATTCAAAATTTTAAAATGCCCAAAGGAAGAAGATTTTCTGATGAGGAGCGCCGGTTGATTCACTTGCTCAATGAAGATGGAATGAGCTGCCGAGATATCGCACGACGCATAAAACGAAGTTTTTCATCGGTATCGAAGATAATACGACAAGGTGAAGACTATGGAAGAGGGCATTCCTTGACTAGAAGAGACAAATCGCACATCTTGTGTGTTGCTTCAAACAGCTTTTCGACTGCAAAAGCCATTGATGAGAAGGCGGGTGTTGATGTTTCTGTTCGAACTGTTCAGAGATTCCTTAAAAAAAATGAAATCATAGTCTGAAGAAAACTGAAATGCAAACCACCTCTGAAACCCCACCACAAACTAGCCCGTGTCAAATTTGCTGAAAACCACGTTTTGAAAAATGAAGATTATTGCTGAAAAGTTATTTTTTCTGACAAAAAATTCAATTTGAACGGCTCGGACAGATACGCATACTACTTTCATGATCTAACTAAAGAAGAAAAAAATTTGTCACGGCGCCAAATGGCTGGTGGATCTTTGATGATTTGGGTGTAATAAAAAAGGGAATCTTTGTTTTCTTCCAAAAAAAAAAAAAAAAAATCAATTCGGAATATTACAAGAAATTACTGGACAAAGAAAAAACTAGTTTCAGCGATTTATGCGAAGGGACTCCAATATTCCAGCAGGACAACGCACCCATACACAATGCAAAAATTGTTAAAGAATGGTTTTCACAGAACAGCATTGAAAACTTGAATGGCCTGCACTCTCATCAGACTTGAACATTATAGAAAATGTACGGCGAAAATGATCGAGGATGGTATATCAAGACTGTAAGCAGTACAACTGTCGACGAACTTAAAACAGCTGTCACCACTGCCTGGAATAATTTGCCTCAAGATTTTATTCCAAATTTGTACAAAACCATTCCAGAAAAATTACTGGAAATAATAAAACAGTGCTAATGCCACAAAATATTATAACCTTGTTTTAAATTGATTTTATTCCATGTGTCTATAATTTTGTCGCAGACAAAATCGTTTAATTTTAGTATTTTAATAATTTTTTCTCTTATTTACTGAAAAATTAAAGTTTAATATTAAGTTTATTATATTAAAGTTATTTCATGTGTTTTGAATAAATATTTGTAGTAAAAACCCATTACATTAAAAAATCAAAACAATTAGGGGTGTGTCTATAATTTTGTTACTCTGTTGTATATAATATAGAATTATTACTGACTAACAGACAACGCACAGACCAAACCACTGGATCTAAATGCTGAAATTTCGATAGTGCATTCCTATAATGACATGGATAGCACTTTAGAAAAGATTTTTTACCATATATAGACAGAAGTGAACTGAAGGAGAGAATAATTTGAGAAACAAGGCATTATGTTAAAATGCCATACTAGCACTCTTCATCGCATTAGAAAGGTACATTAAAACAGAGCTTCACATGGACGAAATCACGGGTAAAAGAAAGTTTGCCTATATACATACTGAATGGCACAAAACAAATGTTACAATAATAAATAAATAAATACATAGTGTGAGTAGTAATAAACTTAACATATTTGAAGGGAACCTGGAGGAATTTAAAGGGAACATGGGCACTTTCTTTTGGGCCAAAGCCTGTATATGTATAACCCTAACCATCCCTAACCTGTATATGTGCCTGGCCCGTGGAGAAAGGTTGCTCGGTGTGACCTAATTGAAGGGTGCAATTCCTCCATATTGACAACATGTAAGAATTCCACTCGATATAAGAATTGTGCTTGAGCACAGCAATGAGTATCTTGGTCCCCTGTTCCGATACTTGGAAGAAACGGGGTTGTTTTATTGTATATTACTGATACTTTGGTGTCCTGAGTGAATGTATTTATTGGCATGAATGTGTAGTGTGAGAGGCGTGAATGTAAATATGAATGGATAAAGGCCAAGGTCTGACCTCGGACTGCCAAAACCCAGCAGGTGATTCTCGAGGCCTGCCGGTGATTTATTGTAAATTAAAAAAGCTGGACTTGCCGGAAGACTCTGAGAAGTAATAGGCTTAACACTGTATAATCGCACGTGCAATTTGGGCTTGTATAAATCAGTGATTAGTAATTATTTCAACTATGCAAATTTAAGTATAAATTTTATCTGCAGATGGACTTTACGTTCATGTCCAATTTTATTTAAAAAGTTGAATCATGAGAAGTACTTCGATCGACTAAAGTCAGACAACGAAACTTCAATTGTGAGAACGTGTGTTTATTTATTAAAGATAAATAAGTTTTATGATCTTTTTAGGTGTTTTTTCAGAAACTTACAACCATTTCAAAATATCCTGTAATTATATCGATTATCCTTTTATTATATATTATGTCGATATAATAAAAGAATATTTTAAAGTGGTTGTAAGTTACTGAAAAAAACACCTAAAAAGATCTTAAAACAAGTGAACAACCAAAACGAAAGAAGAGAAGAATAAATAATACTTTTTATAATTTGTGTTTTTTAAATAATTTTGAATTTGTTGTGAAAAACACTGGTCCATTGTAATCAGTTATCAATACTTTTTTTTTCTTCAGTCTTACCATTTCAAATTGATCAGACCTATTTCTAGAGTTACAGTTTTTATTATATATATATTTTTATATATTTTTTTTATTAGGTTAGCATTTAATCTACTGTAATTTCCAGCATTGTAACTTGGACGGATATTCATTTGGAAGGATGATTGAGGATGAACCGAATGGCAATATCATTCAAAATGTGCAAGTTCATGTAATACCGATTACAATAGAAGGTAGAGAAGTGAGCTCCCCGAACACATCCCCTCAGAGGTTGTCATCCTCAAGTTCACCGAGCAACGGCAGATTTACAATGCCCGAGCATAAAAGAAAACATAATGATTTCGAGAGTAATATACTAATAATCTAGCCGTTAGGTTGATGGTGAATATTTCACAGATTCCTTTTTACAGATAAAAAGCTCAACAGAGGAATATCAAGAGCGACCGATAATGTAAATATTGTCTCACAAGCTAGGTCATCTATGTTAGAAGATCAAGAGTACTTTTTAGAAACACCGATATACACTTTTGCTCTCCCGGATATCAATACTTTTGACGGTAATAAAATATGAAGAAATTATTAAACTACAGCCTAATAATGTATAAATTGTTTCAGAGGAGTTTAAAAAGTTTTTAGTAAAAGATCTAATTGCCATTTCAACCCAATCGTCATTAGAGCAAGCCAATCGATTGAATTGGTGGACAAACTATTGTCAGAGGCTTTGGCCTTTATCGACAAGCGGCGATGGAAATTGTCTTCTTCATGCAGCTTCATTGGGTATTATACAAATAAAAACGATTTTTTTTTGCATTTTAATATTTTTTAAATATTATTTTTAAGGGATGTGGGGTTTTCATGATAGGCTGTTGACGCTTAGGAAAACGTTGCACTGCTACTTAACCCAGTCTCCTAGGAAAGAAGCACTTTGGAGGCGATGGAGGAGACAGCAACATCTTCTCAACGCTCAAGCGGGACTTGTATATTCTGAAATTGAATGGAGACAAGAATGGAATGCAATTGTTAACATGGCTTCATCAGAACCAAGGCTCAGGAGGCTGAGCGTTCAAAGGTAATTAACGTGTGGATCTATAGTGATTAAGACCATACAATGGAAAGTGTGCTTTGACCCACCAAACTAATTTTTAGTATAAGAATTGCCTTAATGAAGTTGCTATACCATAAACGGACTAGTGCCTCACATTTGCAAAGGATATGTGACGGCATGCTTCTGTCCGGCTTTGCCCATCTTTAGTTGGTAGTTAAGAGGCAGGGCCTATAATAGTGGACTATAGTTTTCCTCAATCTTGGCTCCTGAGAGGGAAAGAGCAGTTCCAAGCCTTGTTTTAATAGATTTATGAATCTCTTATCTTGCCTCATAAATAGTGCTTTTGTCAAGTGGTTGAGTTTTTCCTTCTCAAGCAATTTTTTCAAGCTCCTAATTGAGCACTTTCTCCAGTGTGCAGTTTGGAACAAAAAGCAAATGCCTTTTACCTGAAAGTATATACATGCAATTTTATTAAAGCAATTTCAGTGTTATTTTCTTCTTTATTAACTCTGCACAGAGGGGGCCGCGGTAGCCGAGTGGTTAAGGCGTCAGACTCTCGGCTAGTAGATCCCGCGGTCGTGGGTATGATCCCCACCGTTGCGTCTGGACTTTTTCTGACGCCTAAGAGGACCGGTGGCCGCAATTGAAAGAAATTGACACGGCACTCATCAATGGAAGGAGTGGGATCAGATCTCAGCGACCCTGAATTTGGTCCCAACCCCCTTCAAAAATGAGTTTCTTTGATGGAAGAACACCAGCACACCGGGGGCTCAAATTCACACCTGTGTTGCGAGCCCCTAAAAATGGAGCCAGGGATAAAGTACAATAAGCTGTACAGCTGCAGTGTTCAGGAGGGAACTCCTCCAGTTCATGGTATCTGTTGGGAAAAAAAAAAAAAAAAAAAAAAAAAAAAAACTGCACAGAGTTGGATTGCATGGACCTCAGCTTGGAATATAGTTGGAACCAGTCCAAGGGATTTTCCAGGGGTATAATTCAACCTCTTTACCCCATTCCTAAACATATTTTCTGTTCCATCTTTGATCCATCAGGGACCATTATGACCCTTTCCCTGAAACTTGGGGTTGCCTTCCTTTCAATGTTTCTGTTACCTATGCCCACTTGGTATGTCAAAGTTGAGTTTCTTCTCATTTTTTCAGGCCCTGTTATGGGCAGTACTCTCCAGAATTTTGTGATAGCTTCTCTTTTTTTTCTGGGGTCATAGGACAATTGGTGCCATAATGAATTTAAACTTTTGTCTATTGAACAGTAATACGATTTTCTCAGATGAAGTAGGCTGGAGGTGCACTGTCCTCTTCATACTTAGACCTTGTCTAATGCACAAGCTTGAAAATTCCAAGTGTTATGCTGGGATTTGAACCCAGGACTATCATGGCAAGTACAAGTTGGATGCCATAACCACTCGGTCACTGTGGTCCCCTAGTTTCTTCTTAGATCTAGTTTTATTTCTTTGTTTCTCAGGATGGCACTCCCAAAAGCCACTTTTTGTTTGTGATCATGTAAAGGGGAGAGATTGAGTAAGGTAACCCTTTTGTTTGAGTGATGTGGTATACTTTATTTGTAAAGGCTAAATTATAACATTTCAGCAATAAAAATTACAGCTGAGTAAGTTTTTTTACCATAGAAGGATTCATGGTTGATATTACAGTCATGCCAAATCACATTTTACCCTCAAGGTCAATTCATTTGGTGATTTTGCAACTGTGCAAGGCTCATTATCATCACGCCTCTATATGATTAAAATGATGCCCCTCTAAACAGAAATATTAAAATAACAATTTAAAAAAATATCCCAACTCATACAGCTACTTAGCTTTTGCGCTCACACTTAATACTGGTAATACTGGATCTCAAAATTCTGATAGTTTCAAACTTACAAAAAATTATAAAACATTTCGATTGTTTCAAACTTACAAAAAACCATAAAACATTTGGATTGTTAAATCAAACTTCTAGGTGTGTTCAGTTCCAAGAAAACAGGATTCATTAATGATTATAAAATTCACTAATTTCATGGTCCGCTTGACCTATTAATATATTACAAATAATTAAGGTTTTTAGTTGAGATGAAAAAAAGTCAATGGCACGAGCGGGATTCGAACCCACGAACTTCAGCTAGATACGCCGCTGCTTTACCACTTGAGCTAGGCTCAGGAGATAGGTCTGCCTCAGAATGTACGGTTCGTCTTGGTGGCTTTCCATGGTATGGGTTATTGCAGCAGTGCGAGCAGCCACCTGGTTGGAGTCGTAAAGCCCCCTGATCCACGGGTCGGAACTGTCCACTAGGGCCAGCCTGGCCCGTAGATGCGCCACAGGGACCGCATGCACCAGACAAGGGAACCCCAGTCCGCCGTCTTTGCTGCTGGCGTATATGAGGCCGAGGCTGTCACATCCAGGACATGCTGATGATGCCAGGTCAGAAATAATGGGGTCGACCATCAGGTTGAACAGCAAGGGCGACAATGGGTCGCACTGCCTCACCCCCTGGCGATCTTCACCCTTTTCATCCCCACATCCGTGGGTATGATTGTCGTCGCTCCCCGATAGGAGGACAAGACCGTCTCCACGATTTGCGGGCAACTTATCCGGCAAAGGGCTCCTTTATGGCTGGATGCGGCACGGTGTCGAACGCCTTGGCCACATCCAGCTGGACCATCGTAAGTCCCTCCCGGCGAGTCTCCTGTCGAACACTTTGGCCTTTCGGACAGTTTCGCCACGCCGCGATCCTCTTAGAGATCACCGCGGAATACAGCCTCGCCGTTATCGGGGCTATGGTTATCGGCCTCCATGCAGAGGGACTTAAGGGATTCTTACCCTGCTTTGGTATGAGTACTGTCCGGTTCTCTCGCCACTTACGGGGGTAGAGCCCAAAAGTGGCGAGGACCGTGAACAGTTTCACCAGGGTGGTTCTCATACCTGCCATCCTGGACAAATCCTCTCTGATGATGCCATCAACTCCCGCGCTCTTTTTCTTGGCGACGTGCATCATCCCCATGTGAACCTCCTTTACGGAAATCGGAGCGAAGACGAATTCCTGAGAAGCTCACCCGGGAAAAAATGCTCATCGCCCTCGCCAGTTTCCCTCCACTGTTGCTTGTAAAACAAGGCAACTGTAGTTGATATTGATCGACCTCCGTAGTTTAAATTGATGTATTGGATCTTCTTGAGGTCATTTTGACCTCAAGAAGATCCAATACATCAATTCAAGGCAACTGTGTCTGTCGGTTTGCTATGGCCGTCCAGCCCCCTTCCGTCCAACCTCCGGAGATCTCCACTTTCCACCAACTGGGCCAGCTTCCTGGGGCAGTTGCGGTACATCTCCTGCGTGATGGCGTAGACTCTTTTCTTCCTGGCGTCTCGTGACCCTCCTCGCACGGCTCAGTTGAGCCTCCCGAGTTGGTCTCCGCGCCAGAGTGCAGTCCAAGAGCACTTCGACGACCCGGTCGATCTGACCCTCCGTCGGAGGAAAATCCCCCTTCAGAAGGCCATCGCAAATGTCCGCCGCCCACAGGACCTCCGCAACCTCCCCACGTAGACTGTGCTAAGAGCAGCGCTCCTTGTGCTAACGCACCAGTCAGCGTCCAAAGCGGGACCCCCGTCGGTCATCTGGTCGGGAGCTAGAAGTGCCGGGAGTTCGTCACCATCAGGAAAATCGTCACGTCCGGGAATTGTGTTACATCCAAGGGCAGTGAGCAATGGGCTCGCCCTCACTGCTAATGTCCCTACGACCATCCTCTGCTGCCTCCACCGCAGGAACCGGCCGCCCCCCCATCGCCACGCTTCGGAACCCCCTCCCCAGCAGCCACCCAACTCCGTGCATGCTCCCTGACTTGAGCAGGGGTCTTGCCCGGGATGAGCGCCGCTATGGTGGAGGAGTATCCTCACGCAGGATAATGGAGAGCCATCAACCGCCTGAACTCCGCATCCTCCTCAGCAGACCACACCCTCCTCCTAAAGCTTGATGGGGCTGTGCTCGGCGGGCCGTGCACAGCCTGAGGATTGCATTTTTTAAGGTATATAGGCCTTTGTTGTAAAACTCCTGGCGCAGGATGGGCATGCAAACTCCCCGAGGGGAGCCGCAGACCCCGCGCCTGGACAACGAGGCGTACGGCAGGCAGCGGCTTGAAAGCGGTCAAAACCGGCCCCACAGCTTCCGCAGACAAAGGACAACTGATCATCAGGATGGTTGGTCCAGTAGTGTTTTGAGAGGCCACCATGACCCCCGCCACCAGAGGAACACAAGCAACCACAAAGGCGGCAAGCGACCTGCGGCGGCAAAGGGAATACGTAGCCCCCCGTAGTCATATCCGGATGGCGCAACATGGCAATAGCGGGGGAGACAATGAAAGGAGAACGAAAAATATATCCTTCGAAAAAGAAATTATCGTCTCCGATGCTATTGCCAGTTGAAACCGCCCCACACCGCCTAGGCAGACGACAGAGCCTCGTTAGTTCGCTTACCCTGCCAGGCTAACCCAGCAACGTAAGGTGTAACAGCGGCCACCACGTGAAGGTGAGGTTGTCTTGGTCCTAAAACCCTTGGAACTAGGACACTCATCGCCAAACCACCAACTTCCAGAAGAGGAAGAAGGAGGGTCAGCTAAGAGAGTCTTAGTTACTCCCGCCATTAGAATTAGAATTAAGTGCTTGCTGGCTAGCTCGAAGTCCAGATTTGAACTGAATCAAACACATCTGGGACCAAATTAAGCGATGAGTATGGCAGTGGACCCAGGTCACACCCTAGAAAAGTTAAAAATGGCTGTTCTTGATGAATGGGAAAGAATTCTTCAGGATTTTATCAGAAATCTTTTCCAGGAAATGCAAAGGCATTTAATGGACATGATTTGTGCGAGAGGTGCCCATACTCGCTATTAAAGGGGACAAACTTTTTTCCTTTTTATTTGTTGTTGAATTTTCAGTTTTGTTTCTTTATTCAATACTTTTTTAAAAATTAGCAAATAAACATTTTCTTTATACTCAATTCTTATTTTTACAACCAAACCTATTTTTGGTATGCTAAATATGAATAAACCTTAATTAAAATTTAAGGGTAGTGCATTAATTTGGTTCAACAGTGTATTTCATTGATGACTGTAAACCATGCTAAATATAAAGATGATTGTGAATGCATACCACCTGGATCTGTAAATCCTGGTTTGTTTGTTTTTCAGCGAGCCTGGTTCAGAAAGCACTGCAGGAAATATTTACGAGAGCCTTGAGGAAATTCATGTATTGGCATTGGCCCATGTGCTGAAACGTCCTATTATCGTTGTAGCTGATACAGTGCTAAAAGTAAGAAGAACTATTGTTTTAAATAAAATTTCTATAGTTAACTAAACATGTAAAAACAAAAAAAAAAAAAAAAATTAGTTTCCAAATTTTAAAGCATAATACAGAGATTCAACTGTAAATGAAAATAATATATAGAATATTTAACATTCCCATGATTCATATGATTTTTTATTTATCTTTTTTAATCATTTTATTTTTAATTTAGGATATGAATGGTGATGATTTAGCACCAATACCTTTTGGTGGGATTTACCTCCCACAAGAATGCAATCCTGATGAGTGTTTTCGGTCCCCTCTGCTTTTAGCTTATGATGGGGGTCATTTTTCTGCTCTTGTCTCAATGGATTCACCATCAAGTGGTAAAGAATGTTTGTTAACGGATTTCTAAAATTGTCAGAAACTTATCGGAATGTTTTTGGTTGTGAACAGCAGCATCTCCTGCCATTCCGTTGACTGATATGCTCGGTGACCTACTACCCATTCAATTCAGCATTGATCCTGATCCAGGAAACAATGGAAACAATGAAGGCCATTTTGTGGAATTGACTCATGCCCAGAATGTAGAATTGCTCTCCACTTATTTGAATCTGATCAATATTGAACCAAACGTAAATACTCTATACGAATGCTATCTGAGATATTTTTGTTTAACAAAATAATTTTTTTGCAGCTTGCCCCGCCGCAAGAAGAGCCGAAAAATGGCCTTTTGGGAAGTATCGGCAAGTCAGTCGGCCAAAAGTTAAAGATGAAACTTTTGAGGAGCAATTCTCAAAGGCAATCAAAACCGATTCTTTGCGCACTCCTCAACCTTGACAAAAGGCATGAATACCACGAGGTAATGATCAAAAACTATCTAGACACAGCAAGGGAGAGGTTTCAGTTACATCTAGAAAACAACAAAGCGGTAATTAATAATGATTACAATTTTTTGCATGTTAGTTATTTGTTTATGATAATTAGCATCCTGATGGGTTTGATATATTTATTTTAAACTTTTTTTTCATCATCCCATATATCGCTGGTCATAAAATATGTCCGTAGCTTTTTTAAATTTTTTTAAAAATTTTAGTTACTAGTAAATAAATTTAATTAAGAATACACTATTTTGTTTCACAACCTGTTGCTAACTTCCAGAGCTTCTCAGATTGTTAAGCAATGTATTCTTGGGTGTATAATAAATAGCAAAAGCTGGAATTGCCTGTAGAGTATGAGAGGCAAATAGGTTCAACTTGGCACATGTTTATATGTTGATATGTATATGTGTGGATTTAAGCGTATACAAATCCAAATCCCAAAATTGAAAAGATTGATGTGTTTTATGCGATTTGTTTGAGATGTTGTAATTTTACAAGGTAGTTTCCTAATTTAATTAAAAATGAAGGAAAAATAGTGCATTTTCTACATTCAATATTTTTTTTAAATTTATTATTATTATTGCAAAGGTAAACTGTAACTCAGAATGCTAGGGGAATTCATATGCACAGTGATGATGCTTTAAGAGAAAGTACTGTTTGTAAGTGGTGTGCTCAGTTCATAGGCGTAAATTTCAAGTTGGAAGACAAAGCGCTGTGAATGTATTTCGACCATTGGTGATGACAAAATTCAAACTTTTATCCCAAATAACTCACACTTAACATCATGAGACATCGCAGAGAAACAACTTATATCTCATACAAGCTTTCACATAACTGAAAGTGGATGTTTATCAAAGTGATATGGGTTCCTCGCTGGAAGAAGAATTTTAGAATACATGTCCATCTGCAAATTTCCTACTAAAATGCAAATATTTTTGTAAAAATGTTTATAAATTGGGATGAAAAGAAGGTTCTTTACAAGAAACTGAACGAACAGTTTTCATTCTCTTGGTGCATCAGAGCTCTTTCAGAAAGCTCACTTCGCAATGGGTCCTTATGCTCTGGGTCTGAGCAGTGCTGAAAACATTGTCTCGTGCACTGGACGGCTGTTTTTAATTGTACAATGTTTTCGCTCCATCTATTACGCCTTGTGTTCTTACGTTAACCCTCACTGGGCCTGCGACCAATGCTGTAGTGAGCACCTTGTTGATCTTGCCAATATTTGTGGCAGGGCACAAAAGTGTTTCCTGTTCCAGCAGCTGATCCCACACAACAAAATCTGACACGGAATCTTCGGTTCCTCAAGAAAGCACCAAAGAACTGGGGTAATTTACCTCTAAATCTGATATCCCAACATTTCCGAAGTATTGCACTTCTCCATGTCGTATCATGTGCTTTCCTCAGATCAAAGAACACAGTCAGAGCGTGCTCTCTATTCAGTGAAGTCAATCTGGATTCATGCTGCTTCAGTTTTCATTCTATGAAAGCTGTCGGAAGTTGACACGTCTTCAGGACAAACTTGACTCTGAGAAGGAGCTGCGATGACCCAAGTGTTCTGGTTACTCGCAGCTTCTTCACTAAAGTTGGCTCTTGAGGAAGCCTAGCCTCTGGTGATCATGGGGGCTTAAATGCCAGTTTTTTGTTCACCAGCGATGTTTGAGAGAAGGCCGTATTTGTCCTCTTCTTTTGGGGCATTGGATGTTGTTGGGCAGAACTAGGCGCTTTAGGGACACATACAGAAGGCAACCACAGCTTAAGTGTAGCCCACCAGGACTGACCACAATTATTCATATTCAAGACACTTTAATTGGGGGGGGGGTCTTTGGAAGGATCGTGTTTGTGACTGCTACAACCACACCCCCTCAGACTTGCCTGAAAGCCCCCCCTCCCTATGATGCCCTGGTCTGGGCACACCTCCCCAAAACCCCAGCAGGGGAAGGTCTCCTAGGGGTGGTAACCCTAGGGTGAGTATAGTGTTAGATTGCTTATGTCAGTGTTAGTGTGTGTGTGTGTGTGTGTGTGTATGTATGTATGTATGTATTGCGGATGCAGTTTACCCTTGTGCCTCAACCTTTTCTGAGTGTGTAACCAATGATTACATAAAAATTCCAAACACAAGAGGGATAAAATTAAATTATTGAGAAAAAACGCTACAGACTTATTTTATGAGCCAGTATTTCTCAAAATGTACTTAGTAAACACTAAACACTTTGTATTAAGTGGTAATTAATAAAAATACTCTTGAACCTTAATTAAGTTAATTCTTATTTACCAGCTGGAATTTTGGGAAATATTTGTCTATCCTTTCTGGGTTTTACTAGCATTTTAAATAATGAGAGGAAAAAATAGAAATTTATTTTTTGCCAGTCGTGTTTAGTTCACTTTTATTAGACATAGCTTACAGAAATGTTTGAATTGCATGGATTGCTTTCTTAACATAATTGCACCTATAAAAAAAAGTTTACATGCATATTATTATTATTATTATTTTAAATTGTAAATACTTTCCATTTATTTTTGTTAAAATTCTAATTGCCTAATGATTAAGTTAACTACGTCTGACTGAGCAAAGTGCAGTAAAGCCCTGAAAGTTTCAACATTTTCAAGTTATACTGAAAATACAATGCTAGATGTTTATTTTTTTAATTAATTGCATAAGACGTATTTTTTTTATTAATGTGATGAGTAATTTATTACTTAATGCTGTCTACTTTAAAAGTTTTATTTCCTTTTCTTTCTTTTTTGTTTTTAGATTTCCCTTAAGTAGGCGAGGTTAATGCACTGCCATTTTTTCAGCCTGTAACGTACTAAAAGCTGCTTGCTCTTTTAGTTTGTGGTGTCGGTTTGGTCATTTTTGTTTATTTCACAACTTAACTGCATGTTTACTATCTCTTTTTACTTTACTACATATATAGGTAATATGACAGGAATATTCAACTGCTGAAGGAGGTCTGAGGTACAATGCCGGAAAGTCGAAGTTTTACACAGAAGTCGATCAAGAGGCACACGATAAAGTGAGCCAACTGACGCCCGTGAAGCCACCGTCAAACGATGATATGACACTTTACCTTTCAAATTCAACTTTTTACGAAACTAGTCAGTTGTGTAGAACCAACGATTGTAATTTCTTTGGCAACCCTCAGACAGATTATTACTGTTCAAAATGTTATAGTGACCTTTATAAAAATAAGTGTTAGTACAAAGTAGTATGTGAAATATTATATTTTTCTCCCCATGAGTTTGAATGTTCATTGTTTTCATGTTCCCTTGTATTATTTTTTTAAATTCACTTTAATTAAAAGTGAAAATTTAAAAGAAAGTATTTCCCTAAAATTTAATCGGTTCCAAAACTTGTTAGAATTTTAATAGTTTGTAGATTTTTTTCTTTTAATAAATACTAATTAGCTCTAAGAGTCAAACTATTCCCAGAAAGTTAATCCTTACTTTTTGTGATTTTCTTTTTTGTTATAAACTTACACACTCATACTTTATTTTTGCACATTGCTTAATCTATGTTTGTTGATCAAGAAATTTTATTTTTCAAAATGTTGTTGAATACACTATAGCGTTTGTATCGTATTTTAATAAAAACAAATATTTTTGTGAAGTTTTTAAAATTTAAATATATTTTTTACCCTGTTCGAAGGGTTTGAGATATTGTAAAATTAAGATATGTTACTGTAAGGTTTTGAAACAGTTTTTGTTTTCAATGAATACCTTTAAAATTAATTATCTCATAGCACATCACCAATTATCGATTAAACATTTTTTCCAGAGATTGATTATACAGGAAAACATTTTTTGTTTTATTTAGAAGTTTCTTCTGTAAAACACATACATTTATATAATTTGAAAAAAAAAAAATCTGATCACTGAGTACTTAAGTATATTAAACGCACTTTTACTCATTTAAATAACGCATCACTAACAGTAACACTTTTTTTTAACACCTGTAATACTAGTCATTATAATATAAGACTAAAAGATGAAACAAGCATTTTGAAACAATTCTAACAGTAATGTGCCAAAAATTGAAAAAGAAGAGAAATAAAATGGTAACCTGAAGCATTTGATATAACCGACTGTTTGTTATAGTTTTTATAGAATCTAAATAATAAAATATCTCCGCTTTACAAGTTTGAACTCATGTACAAAATTTTTTAGATTTTACCTTAGAAGTACAATTGTTATTAATGTTAATAACTTGGTGTTGTTGATTCCCAAAAATCAGTGCCATTAATTTAAATGATAATAATAAAAATAGAAACAAAGTTACCTTAAAGATAAAATATTTTTCCCCTTAGTTAAGTTTGGTGATTTATTGAATAATTTCTGATTGTTATTTATCGTCATACTTGTTTCTTGTTTAAATTAAAAAAAAAAAAAAAACTAAAAAAACTTAATAAAAGCAATACTTTTATTTGTTATTTTTAATTTGAAACAATGTAAAATAGGAACATTTGTAACATTTGCTTTACAAAACTTTAAATAGATATGTAACATTTTTTTGAGAATATTATAATTATATTTATGAAACAAAATTGCTTTTGTTTATTTCTTTATTTTTTTAATTTACATAATTACAAACACTTTTCCCTTCTGTTTCATATCACATGCAGGCATTATTATTATTATTTTATTACAAGGGGTCACAAAAGCAGAGTCCATATCAGCCCTCGGGGTATTGATGGTTTTGAAAACAAACACATTGACGGGTTCGAATGCGAGGCTGTTGGATTCGAACCCGGGACCTTTACCTTACAGTGATGTGCCTAAACCGTTGCAACCACCGACACCCCCTGCACACATTAGCATGTGTTTACAGAGTAAAGTCATTAAAATTCAAATCAATGCCCTATGGCTACTATCTTGGCATCCGGTGGTAGTGAATCTTCAGCAATAACTGCATCGACGTTATTGCTTAGGATAATTTTGCCCGATTCATCGACAACGTCTATCGTTATTCTTTCGTTGATATCTTTCTCGGTTTCACCACTGCTTTCTTGTCCCTAAAGAATAAACACAAGAGGTGAGTTTTATTGAAATTATCTTAAGGTTGGCCAGACAGAAAATGATTATCGTGGTGGGAAGTGATCCAGCGGTTGTCATGGTGGTCTGCGATATGAGACTGTCAAGGATAAGATAAATTTTATAAATGAATAATTACTTTCCTCTAGAGAGGATATAATGAATTAATTTTATTACTGGGCACAAGTTCAGACGAACAACCACTATAGCATTGCAAAATTCAAGGACAAAGAAAAGATAAGTGTACAAAATTAATGAGAAAAGAGAAAAATTAGAATACTACTGTATAATTATTTCAATTTTTAATTAGTTAAATATTTCTGTTCACTCATGTTAACGTAGAACAAAATCAATCTGCGCCTCAAAGAATCAAAGGCGGTAAGGTTACCGTATCGGCAATCTGATTTTGTACAACTTGATCCCTTGTCATCTCGACAATATCAAGCTATAATTGATAGATTGCCAGACCTCCTTGGCCAAATATCACTTCCTGCCACGAAATATTATTTTCTAGACATTTATATCTTACCTCTACTGCCTCCGGTTCGTCAACATCCTCATCAGAACATTCATTAGAAACCTATAACAAAGAGACAAAATTTCATGAAAAAATTAACATTTCCTATGGGCTGGTTGATGCCTATTGTTCAAAACATCAAATTTAGTGAGTAAAACCATCATTTACAAAAATGAATCTAAATATTCATCCCACCTTTAGCATTTTGATAGAGTAGTTTTAGGATTGAACTTACTTTGAAGCCCACTACAGATCACTAATAATTGTAGCTTTTATTTGTATAATTTAATTAAAGTTAATCTGATTGTGCCAATAAGGATATGTTTTCATTTGAAATGAATATGCAAGAAGAAACTCATCTCTTTTGAATTTCATGGATCCTTAAATTACAATTGATTACTTTTTAATTGTTTATTTACTTTGAAGAATACAAAGTTCATCAAAGGACCATCACAGAAACTAACAGTAGAACTGCAAAGGCTAGGTTTCTCTGGGTGAGGAACATCACGTCACTCCTGTCTAGGTCTGTGACAACCTTCAACGTTCCTATTTATTTCTGTAAATTCACTAATTTCGTGGTCCGCTTGACCAATTAAATTATTACAATTAAGGTTTTTAGTTGAGATGGAAAAAAGTTAACGGCACGAGTGGGATTCGAACCCACGATCCCCACCCACGATTACACATTTGAAAAATGGCAAAAAGGAGGGAAAACTCATAAGGTGGGGTTGAGATAGGAAGTTGATGTCCGAGTGGATCGAGGTCACAATAGCTCAAGTGGTAGAGCAGCGGCGTATTTAGCCGAAGATCGTGGGTTCGAATCCCGCCCGTGCCATTAAATTTTTTTCATCAATTAAAAACCTCAATTAATTGTAATGATTTAATTGGTCAAGTGGACCACGAAATTAGTGAATTTAAAGAATTAATATGAAGTAAACTTCACTAAAGCTCTCCGTGGCCATTTCAATTGTCGTCGAGAATCCAAACCAATTACACGATATTTGAAAAATGGCAAAAAGGAGGGAAAACTCAAAAGGTGGGGTTGAGATAGGAGGTTGGTGTCCGAATGGATTGTGGTCACGATAGTTCAAGTGGTAGAGCAGCGGCGTATCTAGCTGAAGATCGTGGGTTCGAATCCCACTCGTGCCATTAACTTTTTTTCATCTCAACTAAAAACCTCAATTAATTGTTCCTATTTATTTCACCAACCGTGTAATTATTGCAGGGTTAGGTTTCCCTGGTTTGTGAGGAGCGTCAAAAAGCAAATACTGTTTTTGTGCAATAATATAAAATACACAATTGCAACTGTCTCATTAGCATTAATATTGATATTGGATGGTCACCAGGCGGAGTTTAGTTTCAGGTTTTTTTATAAATATAAAAATACTAATAATATTTTTTAAAGAAAATTTTCATGGCACCCTTGTACGACAGCCGTGGCGCACAGTTTAGGAATCACTGGTATAACCACTTCAAATCGCTGTACATATGTCACATGGGACCTCGGGGAACCAGAGATAAAATGTACAAAACAGAAACTTGGTTTCTATACGATTTCCGCTTATTCATGGTTATGATCCCAAACAAACAGAACATTCATTATTCGCAGTCAATTTTTGTTACTTTTTCACCAACGAATCTGGAGGCTGACTCATTGTTGAAACATTAACAAAAACAAGTCACAGACAATATTTCAATTACAAACCCAACCTTTTTATCATTTTCAGCCACTTCTAAACTTTCAAGACGAATCGTTTGCAGCCGATTGTAGCCATCGCCACCAGCTTTGTAACTACAAAATAAAAATAATGTAACAATTTTCCTTCATTTGACAACAAATTTTCAACTTACATAAATCTAGAATATTCAGAAGGCTTTCGCACATTATGCATAGAGCACAAATGACGGGTTAAGGAAAATCCTCTTGTGTATGATTTGTCACAAAGGTGACAACAATATCGACCGCCTTTTAAATTTTCAGAATGCTCCTTAAAAAAAAGAAAGAAAAAAAAGTGTTTTGTAAAAGAATTGTAGGTTATTTAAAGATTGCTTACTTTGTAAAAATGTCTAGTCAGAACAGACTGAAGTTTGCATTTGAAATTGCAGTTTGGTTCATTACACGATAATTCAGTAAACTTGTTTTCCGTATGCCTTAGAAGATGTTGCCGGAGGTCAGTGTGCGTTTTGCATCTTTAACAAAATAAAATAAGTTTCTTTATAAACAAAATAAAAATGCAACCATCTTACTTAGAACTACACAGAGGGCAAGCATATTTTCTACTTGGAGTATGACGATATTTAATATGGCGTTTTAAAATCCCTGGAGTATGGCAGGTCATGCCGCAAAAGTTGCATTTGTAATGATGAACATGCTGTCTCATGTGATCTCTTAGAAGCCGTTCACTCGGTAAGTAGCTAAAGCAATAATTGCATTGGTGACTTTTTTCTGTAAAATATTTATACCAATAAAAATACATAGAATTAAAAGAAGAAGAAGAAGAAGAAAAGTTACCATCTACAGGAAGTTGTCGATGACAATGATCTTCAAATTTAGCATTACTTGCAAATACATTGCCACACTGTGGACATGCTGTTTTCTTTTCGCCTGTGTGAACTTTGACATGTTCCAAAAGTCTTGATTTTTTATTTGTTGATGCTGTGCACCCTTTAATATCAGAGTAATTAAAGTTTTTCTTAAATTTTTCAATGTTTTTTAAAATGTAATTATTGGCTAACCTACCGTTCCACGCACATGAATATTTCTGGTGGGGTTTTTCACTAAGCGATCTGATATGGAAAAAAGCTATGTGGTCAATTATTTCTTTGATCCCGGGGCAGGTTTCATCACAATGCTCCCAGAGGCATACGATCGGTTCGTTATGCTCAAGAGGAAGTGTGTCTTCTTCTGTGTATGTACATGACTAAAATAAAAGGACTGTAAATGAGTTGAAAAGAAAAGTAATTTATAGTGAAAAACTACGCGTACTGGTAAGCCTTTCTTCTTAGCATAAGTCTGACCTCTGGTTTTTAATATTCGATGGTATCCATGATATTTCACATGTCTCGTGACCAGGTCAGGATCTTTTGTGGTAAAGAGACATTTGGCCCATTGACATTCATACATTTCTGGAAAAAAATGCTGATATAAGAAGCATAATGTTTATTACTCATTGACTTAAGAAAAATATCCAACTATCCAAGGGCCAACAGACTTGTAAATTTTAGGTAGTCTATAGTCATTTTTTGATGGTAATTCAATGAAAATTTTAGGTAATTGTAAATAAATTAAATCAACAATATATGAACTACTTTGTTTCGCTGTATGTTGCCATGTTCCATGTAATTTTGTAATCCGTTCTTCTAGAATTCGTGGTTTTGAATGATGAACTTCTCATTGTATTTTTGCAGTGCTCAAGTGAACTAAAGTTTTTCCCAATAACAGAATTTTGCTGAGACATAAATAAGTGAAAATCTACAAGACAATGTCAGGCGACAATTTCTGCCGCGTATGCAGGCATGTGGGGGGTCGGGAATTATCCTGGTGGCAAACAATTCCCTTACAGTTAGCCAATGCCGGTCGATATGGATCAATTGACTTCAATCATTCCAATTTTGTGCAGCATACCCTAAAATTAATGGTTTGTTTGAATGGTAGAAGCTTGCAATAAAGCACCCTTACAATCCCACTGAATGCACGAGATTCTTAGTGTGTAATAAGACTTTTGGAGTTGTTAACTGTAAATTGCTGCATTTCCCCTAGGATTTTATTCTCTGAACATTGTTGCAAAGGACCCACTTTTAATCCCGTTATCAGTCTTTTTAAAAATGGGACATGCACATCGCATTTTAAGAGAAAATCACAGATGAAAAGTGGTCCAGTTAATTCTTCACAGTTCACAAATGAAGAACCCATATATCGCTATGACAAACATATAAAGCTGCTTTTAACTGTAATGAATTACTTATACAAGATATTGTTAGATTGCATATCATTGAGTTTACGGTTTTTTATGGCCTTATGAACCAGGGTGGTTATGTATTTGTTACTTTGTACATATGTAGATAGGGGAAGGGTAGCGTGAAAAAAAGGGCCAGGGTTGACCGTGGGAATCGAACCCATGACCGCAGAGTCTGTAAGCCAAGAGTCTATCATGCAGACCACAGCTACCGCAGTCCCCCGAGTGTAGGTTACGTGTAATAAAAGCTTGAATTTGTCCATCCTCAAAGATTAAAAAACGACAAGATGGCTTTGTTTCTTTCGAATAAAAATTTCCATACTGACAAACTCTCCTAAAGTGTTTAGAAGTGTGTTGTGATTTTTAAAAAAATTAACTACCATGCTCTTTTGATATTGTCTCTATTGAACATAATTGAACAATTATGGAACATGATCGAGTACTTGTTCTTTCATCAGAAATATGAAGACCAATGTAAATCTTTCAACAGCATCTTGCTTGATTTAGAATGTAATAGCCATCCGTGTATTTTATGACTCAAATCATCAAATTTCCACTTCTGAGCCAGCAAACCACTTGTGGATGGTGCTTTCTACTGCAAAGAAATCACCATACATATCACAAATTTTCTAGCAGTCTTAGCTGCAGTTTTCTCTTTGCAGTAATAACAGAAAAAATAAATGACAAAAATGCACTATTTTTCTCTCCATTTTAAAGTATCCCCCAAGTATAGGTTACGTGTAATAAAAGCTTGAATTTGTCCATTCTCAATGATTAAAGAACGACAAGAAGGCTTTGTTTCTTTTGAATAAAAATTTCCACACTGACAAACGGTGCTTTCTCCTAAAGTGTTTAGAAGTGTGTTGTGATTTTTAAAAAAATTAACTACCATGCTCTTTTGATATTGTCTCTATTGAACATAATTGAACAATTATGGAACATGATCAAGTACTTGTTCTTTCATCAGAAATATGAAGAACCAATGTAACTCTTTCAACAGCATCTTGCTTGATTTAGAATGTAATAGTAATAATGTATAATAATAATGTAATAGTAATAATGTAGAATGTAATAGCCATCCGTGTATTTTATGACTCAAATCATCAAATTTCCACTTCTGAGCCAGCAAACTACTTGTGGACAGTGCTTTCTACTACAAAGAAATCTCCATACATATCACAAATTTTCCAGCAGTCTGAGCTGCAGTTTTCTCTTTGCAGTAATAACAGAAAAAATAAATGACAAAAATGCACTATTTTTTTTCTCCATTTTAAAGTAGCAAAACACCTTGTAAAAATGCATTTCGAACAAAACTGAAAATAAACACACCTTAATCAATATTTTTTGTGAGTAAACAATAATGACTAATTATTCAGAAATCTTGAGATGCATCTGGTGTGATGTAGGTTTCAGAAAAACATTTTCTTTATCGTGCCAACGTTTCGATCTTTATTGAGATCATCTTCAGGGCACTTTGAGCCCTGAAGATGATCTCAATAAAGTTCGAAACGTTGGCACAATAAAGAAAATGTTGCAAAACAACTTACTGTGAGTAGGAACTATCTTTTTAAAAAGGATTGAACACCATACTCACTCAATAATTTATCATTTCTAAGAAAATGTTTTTCTGAAACCTACATCACACCAGACCGCATCTCACGATTTCTGAATAACTATCGATTAACAGTCACTAATCACCACACAATAATGACTAAATAAACATTGATTCATACACCCCAAAACAATTCTTAAGTATTTATATTTTAAGGGCATATTCTCCAATTTATAAATAAGAGTGATTACAGAGGATCAATCATAGCAGAACTGTACCATGTTCTGACATTATCTCTATTGAACAATTTCCATGGAACATGACAAGTGCTTGTTCTTTCAACAGAAGTATGAAGAACCCATGTAACTCTTTTCAATTGCTTGCTTGGTCAGAATGCAAAAAAAATGTATTTTTCACAACTTTTCCACTCAAATTACCTTCGCCATCTGTGTGTTTAATGACTTTCAAATCGGGTAAATGATAAGATACGTGGTTGTAGAAAGTGTCTTCTGATGTTGACGAGAAAGGGCAATCCGTCCATTCGCAGGAAATGAGCATCGGATCTTCCTTGTTCGTGTTCAAGTTGGAAACAGGCTCATCGTCCATTTCTGGTATCTGGAAGGATTTGACTCCATACGATCGAAACAGTTCTAATATTAAATAAATGTGCAGAGTTTCTTAATTAAATATAAATCAAGAGAGAGAAAAACATTATCGAGTGCCGACAACTTTGTAAATAAACAAATACAAACGAGCGAGGAGGTTCTAAATTATAGAGGCGTTACTGCCAGTCTCTAGGATTGGTGAAAGTCCTATGGCGCGCAGTGAGTACGCAAGAGATTTTAGCTTTAAATATTTTTTAATTTTTTAATGTTCTAATGATTCTTTTTATTGATTTGATAACATTATTGATGGTACATAACACGTACATTTATATAACAATTGTTTACTTAAATATATATTATTATTTATAATAAATTTTTGGTTTTCATAGTTTTACAACAAAATAGAAATAGAAATTATGAATGATGGAGTGAGTGTGGAGTTCAATCCTTTTTAAATTAAATAAAAAGAATTTAAAAAGGTCAAAATAGTAATGTTCAAACTTCTGACACTTATGATCACTTGTTCAAAATAAGACAGGTTAAGTGAGTCAGTACATAAAAAATGTTTCAACTTTTTTATTTATTTAAAAAATTAAAATTCAACTTATGTTTCCTTTGATACTAATAAAATGTTTACATTGAGATAGCATAAATTGGTTACCGATTACTGATTTATGTAAGCTCAAATCCACACAAGTGTGTACAGAGTTGAGCCTTCGCAGTCCACGGCAATTTCAGCTTTTGTAATTTACAATGAATTACCATTGGCCTCAAGAATCACCCATCCTGGGTATTGGCACTCTGGTGTCAGACGTCATCTTATCTGTCCACCTGCCGAGACTGGGCTCCTGGGGTTATCAACAGCTAGGTCGTTTCAGCCCCCAATACCATCAATTTCCACTCACTTTTAAATATATTATGTCACATTTTTTTCAGTTAGGGTGGTTGAATTTGTGGTGGGAGAGGAAAAGCTACGGCCTGAAGGTTACAGGAGTCCTTGAAAAAGCTTTGGGGTCTAGCAAAAAGCCTTTAGTTTAACGAGGAGCTTTTGATAAAAAAAAAAAAAAGGAGAGGCACAATAGACCAATACTGGTCGTAGTATGCAGGTCATAAAGAGCTGACTCTTCATAATCTTATCTAATCTAGGGTGGTAGAATAAACGGTAGAATGCATAATATATAAAACGTAATTGAGCGTAGAAGGGGTATTCAATTATTCCTCCATCAACCCTCTCACAGAACACATTCACACCAGAAGAAGAGACACGCTATATCAAAATATTGGTAGCAGAGCGTGGTTATTCTTTTTTTATTGTACTTTATCTGTGATTATTCTTTTTATTACACTTTCTTCCGTAGTTACAAAATTACTTTCTCAAATAACATTTTAATTTGTCAAATATGCTAGACAGTCAGAGAACCCCACAATCCTCTCACGCGAGATTGTCCTGCGAGTCTCAGGCCTCTCAAACTATGGAGCTATCCGATCGTACAAAATTGAATTCTTTCCAGTCGCAACAATTTATGAATAAAATATCTAAGACCGTGAATGAAATTATTTGTAACTCCCCGGATATCCCTCGACTTGCAAAAAAGAAACGTTTAGCACTAATTGATAAATTGACCACAAAAATATATAAAAATTTTGAAGAATGCGTGAACGACCCAAAATCAAAAATCAAAACGAAGACCAATTACCGGTTAATTCGGAAAAATCCGTCAGAAAAGTACCAATCCCAACACCTAGAAAAAGTTACGTAATGGCCCTAATGGGAAATAACACTAATTTAGGAGCCCACTTTTACCCTAAAATACGACTGATTCTGAACAAAGCCAGGTAGGTAAAATTGAAGAAAAATATGTCCGTGCATTAAAATTACGCAAAGCACTTTTAACAAGGATTAGTCGGTTACCTATGTTGTCACTAAATGATCCAGAATCTATTTTTAAATTTGTATGTGCGCTACATCCCCTTCTACAGCACTATAAAAGTTTGACATCAGAAATTCTTTTCGTTATTGCGGAAATGACAATGGGATCTGTAAGCCATCTGCTGTACAATGCCACAAACAAACCAAAAATTTCCTTTCGATTACTACGTGATTCACTATTTCAATATCACGTGACAGCCCAACAAGTAATTATTTTAAAAACTAAATTTTTATTAAGGCCCCAAGGAAGAAACGAGTCCCTCAGAAATTTCATCGACACACGTGTCCAATATGCTGAGATATTCAGAGATATTCCTGAAAAAGAGATTATAAAATTATCCTAGAAAGAATTAACCCTGAATATATTGCATTGATCGGAACTAAAATGGAAATTAATGACATCCCCGAATTATACCAGGAGATTTCTACTTTCAATACAAAACACAATACTATCTGGACTACATACAATAAACTAACCCTTTTTAAAAAAAGATAGTTCTTACTCACATTAAGTTGTTTCCAACGATCCAAATTTCGAGCCCTTAGCTCATCGTCAGATTGAAGGATTTCTACAACCACGTCTTTCGACATGAATTGCAAAAGTGAACCCGCCGATAAATATATAATATCTATATATAAATCTAACCCCAAAATTCGTTCTTGCTAAATTAAATATTAAGAACTGTTCGACTCTCTTACAATGTAAATGCCAAAAAACCATTTTAAATAATGAATTACATAAATTGTACAGTCAAAGAGATACAAAACGTTTTTATCAATATATTGTACACATTAGGCTAGCCTCATTGTTGTCTCCAGTAGAATGGGACGAATTCGATTATAATACACAATCATTGATAAAAAACAAAGTATATTATATAAAAAAATTAAAAACTTAAAGTACGGTACACTTAAAAATAGAAATACTCATAAATACCCAAAAACTCCAGTTAAATTTTACCCAAGGGTTATAAACTTAACAAACATGATACTAAATAAAGAAGAAAACAATTTATTAAACAAAGGCTTACAATTTGTCCCTAAAACAGAATTGAATACTAAAAAACTACTATCCCTTAGTTCATCAGTAGATTGTTGTAACATAAATACAAATATACAATATAAATGTGTTGAAATAATTAAACAAAACTTGGTCAATCTAAACATAAAAAAAATTAAATATCCCACGTACAAGTAGGTCTATTGATAAAAAGTTAAAAAGTAACAACAACGTTATTTTAAAAGCCAATAAAGGACATTTAAAAAGTTGAGGATTTCCTAAATAATAACGAGTGTAAAGAAATACAAAAAGATCCCACCTTAAAATTAAAAACTATAATTCAAATAGCCATAAAAAATAGAAATTTTTTATTCTCAGATGACCAATATGCAGTTAAAAAACTAATAGCAATGAACCCAAAACCCCAATGTTATATGGTACAGTCAAAATTCCCAAGGAAAACAGACCTATAAGACCAGTAATGTCCTTTTATAATTCCCCATGCCATAAACTTGCAAGTACAATGGACAAAATAATTAAAAATCACACCAATTTCAAACCTACATTCGGTATTAACAATTCTTTAGAATTGATGAATTAAATAACATCAATATACCCAACAACTGTGTTTTAGTGTCTTTGACATTATTAATTTATTCACAAATATCCCCGTTGAAGAATGTACTAAACTCATAAAGCAAAAACTTACCAAGAATTCTATTAACGAATTTGTAAAAAATGATATAATAGACCTCTTAAAAATATGCCTACTATCTAATTCTTGTAAATTCAATAATAAATTTAATGAAATGAAAGGGTGAGCAATGGGGTCTCCATTATCCCCACTTTGTGTCGAAATATTCATGGATAATTTTGATTTTTCAAATCAAAGAACAAATTAATTAAATCTGTTCATTTTTGGAAATGCTATGTAGACGATATTTTATGCATTTGGTTGGGAACATTAGAGGATCTCAAAGAATTCCTCCAACTAATTAATTTTCAACACTGTAATATAAATTTTACATTGGAAATTAACAAAGATGGTTGTTTGAACTTTTTAGACCTAAAATTGTCCATACTAAACAACCTAACCCATGGTCCCAAAAGGCTGCTGGTTTCTTTTGGCTCATAGACTGTATGTTAAAACTTCCATTAATATCTGCTAACTATAAAAAAGAATTAGAAACTATTAATCCTTAGCAAAACTGTGAGAAGTGATAGGCTCAACTCTGTGCATGTGTTTATGTACTTTATAATTCAGTAATCGAAGTAGCATTCATTCATGAGTCTTTTTTTGCTGAAGAGTATATTTGGTGAGATGTTGGTATATACAAATAAAACACATATATTTTAAAGGGGGTTTTAAAGATAAATTTTTAAATAATTAAGAAACAGAAAATTAATTAACATTAAATGGAAAAAAGTGTTTATTCAGTAATTATTAAATTAATATTTATGAATTTTGCTCTACTTAGAATAGGCTAAACCCGTACTACGTCTGTGTCATGCCGAACTGTTGGAACGTTTTATTTACTTTTTAAATGTGTTTCACAGCACCTAATGGGGTTAATGAAGTTTTTTCACAATTAAATGATCATAAATTGTTATTTAGAGATTAAAAAATATTATTTTTGGTGTATTAATTTCATTGTTGGTTAAGATAAAAACAAAAATGTTCTATGATGCAGAATATTTGGTATGCAGAATGTAATTTGGTATGATTTAAAAAAAAATAAATCAACAAAATACTGCTTTTTTTGCATATTCTAATAAACATTCTGTAAGCAAAGTAGGTCAGAAAATGGCCCAAATTTCGATTTGCTCATAGTCGTGATTCTACCATTATAAAACCCTTTTTTTTTTAAATTAATTTTTTTTAATAAGGCAGCAACCACAATCAGGGTTATATTTGCCTTGAATCTGTACTGAGTGCGGCCGGCGGTGGGAGGCAGACGCCCGACCGAGGAGCCAGGCAGCACGGGAGGACACTGGGTGCATACGGCCAGCATTCTCTATAAAACCCTTAAATACCGACTTTCACGGAAATCAGTGTAAATTAATAGTTGAGTGGTTTCGACGACCTTCTGCATGACGAACATTCCTTGTGCAAGCTCTACATAATTTTTTTCAATACCTAGGAGGCAGTTTTTGAATTACAGCCGTTACAATCAGATATTCCGAGAACGACTTCTTAAAAATCGAAAAAATTTTACTGGTCAAAAAATCAATA